CCTAACCGCTAGACCATATGGGACCGGTTTTTGAATTTATGACGTATACTTTGTTAAAGGGTATGTATGGTATGCCAGGCTTTTTTTCTACGTAACATCGTTGTAGCTAGTCTAGAACTGCCGTTCCTCTTCACGTTTTTGTTTACTTGTTTACTAATTAACGTTAGATAAATATATAATGGCTGCAATCTGAACGAAACTTCCCTTTAAAGTTAACTTACTGCAAGATATGCGCAAGCAGCAATAGTGAAAATAATACTGAGGCCAACAGTACAGCTTAAATGTAACTAACTGTTTTAATGTTAAATGCACATCGCTTGATATTAGCCAATTATTTCGACCATCAACGACATTTATAAAGCTGTTTAACGTTACATAAAAAAAATAAGTTAGCGTAAGTCATTAATGTAGCAAATAGATTCAAGTTTCAAGATTCAAGAACTTTATGTTACCAATTTGCTGCTTGCACAACAAGTAGGAACTCATCGTGGCGGTTGTTGAATCAGAGAGTCAAGTCAAGGTAATAAAAAAGAGCACCCACAACGGCAACGATCATAAAATCTAATCTAGCTATAAACATTAACAGTTTTAAATTGGCACAAAACCCATTAAAAGGTAAAATTTGCATTCCTGAATTGCACATGTATATTGCATATCATATGCATAGGCCCCCCGCAGACAACATATAATATAAGATAAATTATGATATTATGATGCAAAGTTGCATTGTAAGTGGATGCACAGGCATATGCCACAGGCCGCCCGGAGACCATTAGTTCATCTGTTTTGGCCAGAGTCTCACGTGGGCAGGGAAAAGCTCCTTATGAAAAGGTGTATGTGCAGTTGTTTGTGTTTGAGCAGGATGAGCTGATGTAGTGGTCTCGTGATGATTCTCCTCTGCTCTTTTCTGACAGCCTGTGTTACGTTTACTGCCAAGACGAACTTATTAATAGTTAACCGTAGCTACCTATTGTTATCAAGTTATAAAGATAAGAGCGCCACTTTAAACACTGACAGTAGAACCAAACACTAATATCTGCTGAACGCCGTAGCGGCTAGGTCTCGGTACACATAAGGGGCTTCCGCAGCTGGGTGGTAAGCATAACCTCCCCAGTAGGCTCGGCCTGATCGTATAGTGGTTAGTACTCTGCGTTGTGGCCGCAGCAACCCCGGTTCGAATCCGGGTCACGGCAGGGTTAAATCCCTGACACGGCTTGGGAGGATTTTTTTTTTCCTTTATCACAGAAGTTATGAAGTTAAAGTATTGCTACGGTGTCGCGCCAAAACAGGGAATTTATTTATTTTTATTTAACTATCGATTCCTGCATTGCACGTTTATTTATTCATGTGCACTTCCTCCATATGGGTGAACTGCCTGTGTATTTAGTTCGCTGACTATGCCAGTTAATTTAAGTTTGTTTTCAGGCAATTTCAATGTAATGTCTTTTCCTTCATTGATATTTTTTTTTATAAATCTCTTGGTTACGTTGCAGTATCATCATATATATTTAAAGGTTACCTCGGCGCGATGTTGTTCTAACTCATTTCTGCGTAGTGCTCTGTGGACTCCTGCAGCCACGTCAAAGTGAAAGATCTACGTTAGAAAGAGTCGAACTAGTAAAATAATTCATTTTAAAATGCAATATCTTTACATAAAGAGCCGTAATAATTCACCCTTCACCGAGTGTTGACATATTTTACAACAGTGTTCATGAAAAGAGGGGACGGTCGTTGGGAGTAAGAGACGCGTTTTCATTGGTGGTTGCCAACGACAACGTCCATGTTCCGAGATGAAGAGCCAATCAACGGGCCAGCAGATCGCATGTGCCGCTATGTCTATGCATACGGTCATCTGATTGGTCGTTGCGATCACAAGTACCTGCCCCATACTCTAGTTAGTTCCGCGGTTGAGTTTATCTGGCTATGTAGTTAGAAAGCAGTGGATAACTGGACCTCTAACATATTATTATTTTTTAAATCATATATCATTAATTAACGCTGTGAGGCTGGACATTCACTCTGGTAGGTAAGGACAAAATACACAGTTATTATTGCTTGTATCTTCTATTGAACTCATTGAATCAACTCTGAACCTTTTATAGTCTCATTGCAACAAAGGGAGTGCTCAGACTGACATGCATATTATATTTAATATAACACTGTTGCTGAAATAAATCAATTTTAAGCCTGTTGTGGATGTTTTTGAAGAGTGTTTACCATCCTTTCTTGAAACAGATGATGGATGCCACATCAGCAACTGGAGTTCTTCATCCCTACTGGCCACGGGACCTTTTGATTCCCACCTATGTTGCCAATGACCGATCTATGTCAGAGATTCTGGTGTTCCTGTTTTCTGTGTCTGGGGTGTTTCTGCTTGTGACCTGGCTGATCACCGGCCAGAAAGGGGCCACCGGCAGGCTGGGGACGTGGAGGCGTCTGGCCGTGTGCTGGTTTGCTGTGTGTGGTTTCATCCATGGTGTCATTGAGGGCTGGTTCTCACTGTATTATGATATTATTCCCGGAGACCAGAGCTTCCTGTCACAGCTCTGTGAGTACAAGAAGAACATGTTTAGTTTAAAAGTGCATAAAGTGTGATGGTGCAGTCTTGAAGTGCCCTTTCAGTTAATATGTGTTATACTTTTCTTCCTCAGGGAAAGAGTACTCCAAAGGAGACAGTAGATACGTAATGTGAGTTCATCTTTATGCAGAACTTTGTTGAACTTTGGCATAAAAAAGAAGGTAATTAATTGTACCCTGCATATTTTCTTTCTCTGTAGAGCGGATAACTTCACAGTCTGTATGGAGACTGTGACTGCGTGGTTATGGGGACCCTTCAGCTTTTGGGCAGTGTTTGCCTTCTTAACTAACAAGCCCTACCGATTTGTTCTGCAACTCATCATTTCATTAGGTAAGAGTTAAATTAAGCAAATTCTCAAATCAAATTACTTATTGTTTTACACAATGGGTCTTTTTACATAATCTGATTCCAGGTCAGCTGTATGGAGCAGTGCTTTATTTCTACACGGAGCACAGAGATGGTTATGCTCACAGTGAGCTGGGACACCCAGTCTACTTCTGGTTCTACTTTGTGTTCATGAATGTGCTGTGGGTCGTGATACCGCTAGCGCTCATTTTGGATGCATGGAGGCAGCTGTCAGCAGCACAGGCACACACTGACAGCACAAAGTCACACAAGTCAAAGAGGAACTGACCAGTGGCGGTCTAAAAAGAGCACCAGTACGCAGAAATTCATGCAAGTGATGCATTTATGGTAAACAGGTTTCAAACCCTGGTTAATATTAACATCGGTTACTGGTAAAGAACCATAGAAGGCATTTTATCATGTTTCATTTACCATAAGGGCGTCCAAGAGGGATCTTTTTCTGTGTTTTTTAACTTGGGGGCAGTTACAAGAAGAACTTACTGTGGGACAGTAAGACAATGACTGCTGGAGAGTGAAGGGAAAGGACAGCTGGAGAGAGCATACATTTTGTTGTCGCTGATAAACACTACGTTCAGAGATGAGACAAAATAATTAATTATTGGACATGCCTCATGTATGGTTATCCTTGTGCATATGACAATGTCTTTAAATGTTGTTATTACTTTGCAGAAAGGGCGAATAAATAAATGATTTTATGGTGGGCAGTTTTGTCATGTTCATTTTGTGTATATTTTGCACAACTACATAAATAGACTGAACACAGGCTGCTTTCACATGGAACCCATGAGCAAGTATTAAGTATTTGTTTTTGTTGCTTACATGACAAAAACTGTCAATGTTCACTTTAGTGAGTAGCTCCCTTTATGAATCCAATCAGCTGAGTAGGTTTAATCGATTTCAAAATTAATTACTGTAACAACATACTATGTAATAACAACTCATTATGTAATAATTCGACAAAATGTAATACATTTACACTTCATTAAGTAAGAACAACTGCATCTTGAATCCCATGTGTAATAAATATTCCCACTTTTCGTATTAAATTATTTCATATTGTGGTGGCTATTGCAAAATGTGGCAGTTACATTTTTATTTTATAAACAGCATTTTAATGTATATTAAGCTTTTTGATGGTCTTTTTGGGGAGCCAAGACCATTGCAGCAGTCAAACCCGCTTTGACAAGTTCCTGTCCTGTGGCTGTTTAGACAATCAGAATAATCTTTAACACCAAAGAAGGCGAGGCGACATTGCGACTGCCCATTTTCATAAAAAAAAACAACTCCAGCATTTTCTAATAATCACCTTATTAGGTAACAGTTTATCACAAAGCGCGGGGAAATGTATCACATATTGCGTACATGCTGTTTATTACAAAACGCGGCAGATTCTTACATAACGCAGTATTATTATAAGAAATATACAACATATTACTTTATAATTCAATTACCACTGCATATGTGCTTTTGCACCATATGCTTCAAAGTGTACTTCGCATTGTTCCTGACAACTTCCTGCTACGGCACAGTATCGTCCATTTCTGAATATCTCTTGTTGGTAGTAAAGAAACCCACTGACACTAACAGTAATCTTAAAATGTATCTTTGAATGGTAATGCAATGCAGACTTTTCAAATCAACTTATAGCACCATTTTAACTTAAAAACCTAAATAACGTTATAAAGAAGCAAATGCACAACAGATAACAATGGGTGTAATGGCCATGTTGGGTTTATATGCATAGTATATAGTATATACATGAACATTTTTATAACCAGGTAGGGTTTATATATGCATGTTTCTGAACCCCATGTAACATGAAATTATTCTAATATATAATAATACTT